TGTAAAATATATTTAGGAGCTGCCGAGACACGATGCACATATTGACTAATCCCACGGGCCTTGGGAGAAAACTTCTCTTCCAAGAAATCTATTCTTACCACATAAACAGCCCAACATGGCTCTCCTTGCAAGTAAAACTCCTTGCTCTGAACTGCAGCCTTTCTAATGCGGCTCTAATAATCAAGCCTTTCTAATAAGGCTCAGTGCACTGATAGATCTTTCATACATCCGACACTCATTGCGATGCGAGTTCTCCGGGAAGCCTGGTCTGGTGGTTGACGACCCTGCACATAGCAGGGGGGTTGAAAGTAGATGATCATTGTGGTCCTTTTCAACCCAGGCCATTCTATGATTCTATGACTCTCCTCCCGCTCCCCATCTGTGCAGGAAGAGAAGCAGTCGCCCCATTACCGTGCTGTGGATCCATGTTGCTCTCTCTGGAAACAGCAGATTCCTCCGTCCCCACGCACCAGTACATTCTGGGTCTCAGTGGTGAAGATCCAACAGAGCAAACTTTCTGCAGCGCCTCCGACTGAGCGTTGTCAAAGCTGAAAGTCAGCTAAATGCAGGGCAGAGCGGCTGCTACCAAACGCCGTCCTGATGGAGCATCGTTTACCCTGGTTGAAAATCAACAGCAAAGCAAATTAACCATTCCGCTATTGATACTGCAAGAAGTGTATCCCTATGCACACAGCTGCAAGAATGCTGCTTTGAAGAAACACGCTATGCAAATGTGAACGCAATTATTTTCATAATAGCTTCATTAAGAGCACAGCGTGAATTAAGAGGGGAAACCAACAACATCTCCACTACTGCTCCCAGTTTTCCTCCTGCTGTGCTGCTGTGCCTTTGGGTGGTGCAGCTCCACATTCCCCACAAGCTCTGTGAAGGCAGAGGGCTGAAACAATGAAACGCAGCTGGAAAAATCCTAAAGGCAACCTCAGAACCTTTCCCACCCACAACGACTGCAGCTCTGGTGTGAGAAGCTGGAAAACGTTGATGCGGTCACTGAGAATCCCCTACAGAAAGAAGAGGGCTCAGAGAGACACAGCAGCTTCTCTGCCCACTCCTTTCAGAGAAGCCCAGTGCTCCCAAAACAGCTTCTTAAAACGCATCCTGCATGCAGACCAAGCTTAGGAGCTCTTGTGCTGGCTGCTGCTGGCTGCACACAGCTCAGGTGCCTCCCATGGCATTTCTACCTTCTCACCTCTTCCAATCTGCACACCTGTAATGTTTTCTCCTTTTCCCTTGCCTCTTCCACAGAGATTAAAGACAAGGGCTGACTTTGCAGTCTGTGCCCAGCCGACACCAGCGTTCCTTCATTTTCTGCTTTCAGTTTCGGTCTGCAAACACTTCTCAGATTCAACACGGTGACCTTTTTCACCTTTGAACCCTATTAGATTTTCTCACGCCTGCTGTGCGATGCTGAGATTTGGACCAGAAGCCCTCATTGAACAAAACACACAAAGCACTTTGGTAAGCAGGACCCAGGTGTGTGGATGGCTTCCTGAGCTGGAGATGGGTCACTGATCCACCACCACCACCCAAAAGCTGCCTGCTCCTTCCTCGCTGCATACACAGCACTTTAACCACAAACCAAGTGTTAAAAAAAAATCATCACTGAATGCTTCATCAGCTGTTTCTAGGCAAGTGTTTGAGTTTTAGGTGCACTCACAGCAAAACTCAGCTTCTGATAATCCCTACTTTGTGTGCCTGGCAGTGGGATGCACAGCTCAGAGCTGAGCAATGGGCAAAGCCACGGGCTGCAGTTTGGTGCTTGGGAGCTTCTCAAAGGTGGGAAAATGATTTGGGTGATCATAAGAAAAGGGAGAGGGCTGCACGCAGGCACCTTCACACCCATCCCACAGCTGAGCAATTTTGCAGCCCTAATTCTAAATGGACACAGGTGTGCAGACACAGCCCAGCATCATGGCCTCCATACATCAGAGTGCAACTCGGGCACCTGTAAGGGGCTGAGTTTGGAAACTTTCACATGGAGGGGATGAATAAATGCTCTTCACATCCAGCAGAAGGAAAAGCAATAGCAAAATTTTGATCATCGATTCCCTTTAGCTGCAGCTATGGCAGCAAGCATCGAGCTGTCAGTGCACCACTCTATTTCTGTATTTCAGGGCCTCTGTGTCTACTAAAAACACCCCCACTGTGCTTTTACCTTAAGCAAGAAACACCCAGCTGTAACACGTGCAAATACCGCGTCTTGATTTGATGCAGGGAGAGAGAACTCCCGGAAAAACGGCCCGTGTGGGTCCTCTGAGCTCTGCAGAATGCCACACCGCAAAAAGAGCACAAGAACACAGCCGGGGGAGGCTGCAACCCCATCACATGTATTCCCAACGCCTCTCCTGAGTCTCCGTCACCGCGTTTTGGTGAAGCGGAGCCCCGCAGGGAACAACGGCGGAAAAAAAGCACAGCAGATCGCACGACGGAGATCGAGAAGAGGAGGCACCCGGTACGTACAACTCACCAGGAAGCGGCACCATCGATCCCAGCCAGCAACGCGAGCCCCACGTTGCCCTCAACTCCCGGGCGAGCTGAAGCGGCTCGGGATGACGGCGCGGTGCCGCCCCGCACGGCCCCCGCTCCGCCGCCGCCCCCGCTCGCTCCGCAACTTCGCTCCCAACTTTTTTTCGGAAGCTCGTTCCCCGCTTCTCTCCGCATAGAAAAGCCTCCCCCCTCCCCCCCCACACACGCACACCGCTCCACCCGCCCCGCAGCCGGCGTTGCGCTGTGGCACGGGCAGCCGTACCTCCTGCGTCCCGGGGCTGGCGGCTCTCCGCTGCCACCGCAGCCTCCTCCTCCTCCTCCGGCGCCGGCCGGCCGCCTCGCTTTGCTGCGCGGGAGGCGGAGGGAGGAAGAAAGGGAAAGGAGCGGGGCAGCCGCGCGGCGCCTCCTCCGCCACCGGCCCCGGCTGGGCCCGCCCGGGAGCCGCGGTCAGGGCGCGGTCGGGGCCGCGTCTCGCCCGGAACCCCGTTGGCTGCTCGGGACGCCGCTCAGCGCCCTTCCCCGCCGTGGGGCACGGCGAGGACCGCGGGGCTGCCCCGATGCCGGGCTCGTTCCCCACACCCATCGTTTGGTGTCCGCCCTCTGCCTGGGTTCGCCCTACTCGTGCTTACACCGCTTTAGTTTTGCGCGTTCTTTTTCTTCCTGAAAGAACCGGAGGCGGAGGGGCCGCACCGCCATCTCTCAGCCGTGCGGGTGCTTCGACGCTCGGATTTGTGCCCGAGGCCCTGCCCAACCCGAGATCTGTTTTCTAAAGGCTGCTCCTCGCCCGGATCCCGGAGCTGCTCCACTCAGGAAAAACACAGCAGCATCGCCCCCTGCCTCCCGCCGGGCGCCGCAGCCAACACGTGCGGTGCGCGCATCCCTGCCCGCCGCAGAGCCCCGCACCAACTGGGGCCGCACCGGCTTTCACTGCGCGGTAGTCCGGCTGTATCTTCCCCACCCGACCTACCTCACTAAGGGAAGGCATTTCGGCGTGCCTTTCGTTTATTTATAACGCTCCCTTGAACGACACGCACGGATCCTTCTCTGGACCAAATCAAGAGATGCGGTTCTTGAGGATGGAAAAAGCCATATCCGTGGCTGCTGCTGCTGCCTGAAGTTTGTTCTGCAGTGCTTTTCTGTCTGTGGTAATGGAGACGTAGAGAAGATCTTCACGGGTGCTTTCAAGTGTGTTCAGACGTCCATTAATCTGCATCTGGCTGCAGCCACCTGTTGGGCACCCTCTGCACCTTCCATTGAGTCTGCTGCCTTTTATGCCTCACGCTCTGGTTCTTATACAGACCCTTCTTACACTTTATTTTTTTTCCCCCACCACTGTGTGAAAAAAGAATAAAATCTACAATCACGTTTTCCCCCTTTGTTCTGAAAGAGACCATAACTTCCCTTAGCACGAATTCCTTCGCTCCATCTTTTTTTCCTTTTCCAAATATCATCCCACTCTTCCCGGCTTTATTCACAACTCCACTGCTCACATCACTCACAACAATCCCTTTTTATCTCCATGCTTCTCCCTTCTCATGTTTGGCCACAGAGCTCCTGAGCGATGCTATTACTGAGTGGAAAATCAATGGGCTTTGGCTCGGTGTGTGTAGGGAGATGGTAGGCGTTTGTATCTATTCTCACCTGGTCCAGTGGTTGGTTGGTGACCCTTCCTGTGGCAGGGCTGAAACTACATGATTTTTGAGGTCCTTTTCAACCCAGGCCATTCGATGATTCTGTGATCAGATGTGAAGAGCATTAAAAATGATGGTATGTTCCTGCTCTGTCTCCTTTGCTGATAAGGAAGATAAGACAGGAATGCCTCATCATGGGGCAGTCATACAACAGTGGCTGTGTCTCAGAGGGTTTCAGGAAGCCCCATCTGGCAGCAGTGCCTTCAGATTTCTCCATCCGGAGGCCCATTTCAGAAGGCATAAAGGATCCATCCCACTTTGCACTGGAAGGAACTGTGCCTGCTTTGGCAGCTGCAGTTCTCCTCCCCTCTCCACTCACTGCAAGCGGCACAGCTTTCAAGAGAGCCTGCTCAGAGGGTAAGCTAACAGCCACTCAACCCAGCTTTTATTTGTAAAGCTGACCACACTTCAGCACTTGGTTTCCCTTGCCTTTTTTAGAGCACACAATTCTTCACCAATTGCAGAAGCGAATCCAAGTTGTGAATCCTTCACAGTTCCCCAGTGCGATACAGAACCCCCACGTACACACAAGCAGACTCTCCACGTTCAGCCCTGCTGCACGGAAAGGGCACCTGGACACCACATCTTGTGAGCCCAGAGCACATTTCTGTATGGGGAACACTGCTTCTGTATGGGGAAACAGACACCAGGCTGTTCTAGGAAGAACCCCCTGCAACCAACAGCACAGTGCCATGCTGTTCCACAAGCGAGGAGCCTTATTAACCCCTTCCAGTGTACAAGCAATAGAAGTTTCCCACTCCCCCTTCTTACTTTGAGCCATATCAATATGCAGCACACAGAAACTACTTCACAAAGTCAAACATTTATTAGGAACAAGAACTATTACAAAAAGATGCCCATAGTCTAAATATATACAAGAAGTTTAAACATAGCATTTTCATGTGCCCTTGGTTATAAAAATACATTAGATTAACTGTATCCTAATTTATAAATATAGTTTGTTTTTTTTTTCTTTTTTTTATAAAGTAGTATTTCATGAAAGCCTTACTGTGCAATGAAAGAATATATACCCTCTAAGGGGTTGTTTTAAAGTTAGTGTCTAGTGTAATATAATTTAGAAAATTCAGTGTGTAGAGTCAAACCCTGATTTATACAATACGAGATACACTGACTTAAAAAACTTGATATGGGAAAAAAAAGAAGTTGAAATATATATTATACATATAAAGCCAAAATATTAGGATTGTAAGAACTTCAAATGATTTCAGTATTGACCACTGTTAATCAAAAGTGAATACAGAGATACATCAGGATAACCAGCCTTTTACTGTTTGCCTTACCTCCATCCTGCCCGACTGCAGCCCCAGTAAATCATCTGGTAGGCAAAAGTAAAACGTTTGTCTGAGAAGACGTTTGAGCTTTAAGTGTATTACAAAAATAGAAGCTTATTTACAATGTTCCCATTTGGCCTTTTGTGGGGTAAGGGAGGACACTTCCTTTGTTGGATGGGGAGATGTGCCCACCTCCCACCGCCATGGGAGGACAGGCACTCAGATGTACACAGCTGTTGGAGGTATGTCGTTTAAGTAATTAAGCAGTGTTGAAGTGCAAACTAATAAGGAAGTTTAGGCTCATGCAAACTTTTTCCTTAACTTACCATCGCCCACCTTCCTTCCTCCTTCTGATAAACATCCACTCATGCAACTGAACTCGATACTGACAGCTATCTCTCTGATCACAGAAGTTGCTGGTTAAGATCTTGCTTAAGATCACAGAAGAGAAGTTAGACCTTCATTTCTGCTTCAAGCCCTGACATCCAGAAAAACCCCAAGCGAGTCTTCACCAGTGCTCAATGGAGAACTGCCCACGTTCCATAAGGAGTCTGCATCGCTTTGCTTTCAGAGGATGAGCCTAGCAAGATCAGATGAACTTCCTAACCAGCTGACACCACTAAATCCTGCTTTCTTGCAGCTCCTGCAGACATGGAGCTTCTCATATATTTGTAAGTGGTTCTCCAGTACACAATCAGGAAAGTAATGAAGCCAGGAACTGAGGACAGCAGGTGGCTTTTCATTAACCTTGTAGTAAGCAACATCTGGGCATGCAAAGAAACGACTGCAGGAGATTCTAAGGCATGAACTTGGTGTGACAGCCACTCCATGGATGCTGTTCATGGGAGTGCATGCCTACACAACTGTAAGCCACAGACAGCTCATGGCAGTTCATTCCTCAGTGAAGGAACAGCTGCAGAATGACAACATGTACTGCAAAGTGCTGACACATTTACGTCCAGCCAAAACTCATTCCAGCTAACTCATCTGTACACCTACATGCTTAACATTCAGTATGAGCTTAGGAGCACCTGCCTTTTTATACTGTACTTCCAGAAATCCATTTTAAGCTACATTCACAAGGGATGAAGAAGCAGTGAGAAGAACTCATACTCTCACAATGAGCTCTGGCTCAAAAAATGAAGAGATGTTCACACAGTTACAGCAAAAGAGAGAGGAGGACAGCCTCCTGCAGCTCTCCTGCTCCCTCTCAGGAGTGGCATGGGGTGTTTTCCATGGGGTATCTACCATGCAACGTGTTTAGAATTCAACTTTGCATCATCATGGTAAGTACAGTGCAAAATCCTCTTGCAAAAAGTGCTACAGTGAAGGTATGAGATACAATTGTGACTCAGTGGGAGCCAGAAGAGCTAGCAAGTGTGTAACTTGCATTTACAGCATGTATGATGTGTGCACACCAAAACATCAGCTTCAGAGGACACGTGGAAGTCTAGCTCTGTCAAAAGACATGCTGGCCCCAAAGGAGTCCTCTAAGTAACTCCCACCAATGTCATTCAGGGCTAGAATATCACCAGCGTGGAAGATGCATGTATAATTAGAGAGACCAAGATAGCTCTTTCAAAAACCATTTCTTTACAGATCTTTCCATGAAAGCTTGCACTCCCATCTAAAACTCCAGCTGCAGTCTTCACACAGACTCCATCAATGTCAGTTGTATTAGCCTTATCACACAAGTCCATTTATACCAAGTGAAATCCAAGTGCATCTGAAGAAGTTTAACAGTCAACTAATTGCTAATGGTACCAGAAGTCTCTTTAACATGCCAATGATGTTCAGATCCTTTAGGGGTACAGTTTGAAAGCAGATGTCCTGCTAACACTGTGACTGGGGAGTATTTTAGACACAGGTAGCAGATGAGTGTTAAGACAGGGATTGTACAGCACAAGTGTGCTCTGCTGCCAGTAGGGTCAGTTAAATCAGTTTTCAGAGAGCCAGTTGAAAAAATGGAGTCCAGTAAATTCAGTGATTCTAGAGGAATAAAGTTAGGCATTTCCATTTTCTTTCTTACCCCTCCCCTCCCACCTGCTCTGAACACGTCCCCAGTGTGTCACATTCAGAATGTCAGCATTTTTAGGCCTCCTGTTTTCATGGACTCTTCTGGGACAGTTTAATGGTGACTGTTTTCACCTCAGTATATTCTGCCAAAGCATATTCACCACTGGAAAAGAAGAGAGAGAAAGGGACAAATGATTGCGTGCACTTCCTTAGGAGGTTTCTGCACAAGTGCATCATGGACACAGATCAACAGCTGCTGTAGGCCACTAAAATCAGATGTGAATTTGCCCAAGATATCATTTCGCTCACTGTGTCTAATAATCATGGCACACATTCACATACATACAGCTACACTGTCACAGAAGCAGCTTGGAATGCTTCTGGCCAACTCACAAGATGACATCTCATGACTCTCAGTGAAAACTGAATGCTATTCTGGTAAGTCATAGAAGAAATAAGCACACCAGTAAGCAAAAAGGCTTGCAGGTGGAATTGACTGCCATTAAGATTTTATAAAGCAGGTGAAGGTAATCCTGAAGGCACTGCTTATGCCCCCATAGCTGTGCTTTTAATCCATGCTGTACTGGCTTAGCACCAACCTGCACAGCATGCTGTAAGCATAAGTTCACAAGAAAATTCAACAATATAATCACCAAGTCACAATAATTGCTGCATTTACAATTCACAAATAAACAAAATACTGAGCAAAACTTACAGTTCTCTGCCATTTCCTGACATTTTAAAGCCACCAAAAGGAGCCTGTGCATACAGAGCATTGTAACAGTTGATCCTACAATGAAAACATCAATTGTAAAAAGATAACATCAAGGAGAAGCAAGGTGATGACAACAGACACGTTATAAAGAAAGGCTGTCAGCTTTCTTTTTATACAGTTTGTTTCCTTGAGAAATCAGATTTTAGCAATAAAATCTTATTTTGCTACAGAAACAGAAGACACTTGGGTGGTGCTCTGAGTCTGCCTCATGTCTCAACTTCCTAGCCTCTAATGGCTCAGACATTCATGCTTGAGCTGGATTTTATGCTTGTTTAGAGTTGTGCTTAAAGGTAACTAAAAGCCCAGCCTAGCTCCTAGTTTAATTCCAACATTGTGTTGGAACCAGATGGTTTTTAAGGTTCCTTCCTACCCAAGCCATTCTGTCATTCTAAAATAAACACATTTTCTACAAAAGCTGTCTAAATGCTCACCACCCACTTCCAGGTACAGAGAAGAAGTTAGCCTGCATTAGACACTTGTGTTCTAGTAAAACAGAAGTTCTTCTACCCAGTTCTAATAGGCACTGGGTAGAAAGAGCTAATGCAGATACTTCCTCAGCAACTCAGTGAGATGAAATGACTGAAGAGAAGCAGGTGTGCTCTGGTGCTGTAGGACTGCACCTTCATGTAGGTACAGCACGGGTATCCTTCAAAGCTTTAGCAGAGGGTTGCTAGTTAGGGCAGTATGGTTAGGTTGAGGTTGGACTCAATGATCTTGAAGGTCTTTTCCAACCCTGAGCAATTTATGATTCTATGATCGTGTATTTTTATGTATTTTTCAGAGGTAGATTCTTCTGGCACAAATTTCTGAAATCGTTCTGCGTGCATAAAATTAGACAGCAGATCACATTCCTGTCTTTACTGGGAAAAAAAAACACCAACAGATCAGTATTCCATCTTTAACATTGTTCCAATATAAGAAACGCTGCAAGCAAGAATACCCACAGATCTTTCCAACAGTGGTGTGATGCCATCTACTGCCCATACTCATTTATGCAGGACCCCTTCTGGTGCTGCCTTAAGATCACGAGCTGCTTTTTTTCTACATACATGGTTTTGGAAGGCATCCACAAGGTGGAACTTGGTAAAACCCCTTCATCTTCTGAATTATCCAGAAGTGAAGAACTACAGTGACTGAATTAACAAAGATACTAGTTCATGGCAGAACGTCTGGTCCTCACCACTTCAGTCTGATACGTGGACATTGCTTTCCAGCAAAACATCAAGAATTAAAGAGACTCATGAATGTGACCTCCAGCACTTACACAGGTTTCCAAATTACACAGCCCTCCTCATTCCCAGCAAACAAAACACCAGGTTAAACTCACATTCCATCCTGCTTACCAGACAGTTCCCGACTGCAGAGCAGAAGCTAATGTTAATGCTCTGTCCAGATTCTTCGTGAACACTGCAGCTGTGAGTCCATACTCTGTACTGTTGGCTCTTCTTATGACCTCTTCTATACTCTTGAACTTCATAATAGGCTGAACTGGCCCAAAAATCTGCACATCAATTAAACATTAGTATAAGAAAGCCTTTTCTACTCATGGTAATTTTGAAGCAATCAGAAGCTCTGTTTGGATAATATAATTGAAACATTATACACATTTCATAGCCTTCAAGAATTCACTGGAAGACTCTCTTAAAAACTACTGATTAAACTGAATTAAAATACAGTGATGTGCTGTGGTGGTTAATAAGTGCTGAAAGCCACAACTAGCAGATGAGCTACAAAAATCAAAATAAGCAGAGTTAGATCTGGACAAGTTTCAGAAAGTCAAAAAGCAATTAGTGTATTCCAAACATTGCAAGTTTTCTTTAACTTCCCTTTTGCCAGTGTATGCAGTTAATTTGCATGCAGTGCATTTCTGAAGGATGTGCCTGACCAGAAACTTGGCATCACAAGTATGAAAGCTGCCAGCACACCCTAACTTCCCATTTTTGGGATGGAGTCCTCCATCGAGCACAGTCCTGAACTTAGGCACCATTCTGGCTGGCATAGCCTTGCAATACAATAATCCTTCACCAAAGGTGAGAGAAAGTCTCACTTGTGCCAGCCCGAGGGCCAGTCCAGGAATGTGCTGGGCCTTTAGGCACATACAAGTGTTCCTAAGTTGTTTTTTTCCTTTTGGAAGATCCAGGTGTTGAACTGTTTCTAAGTAAGGTGTGGAAACCTTGTTCCTAGGTAAAAAAAAAAACATGTATTTGCAACTAAACCACATATGAACAAAACTGGATAAGCCTCATGAATCACAGCTTGGGATTTGGAGTCAGTTCATTACAAAAAAGGCCTGTCATGGGATTTGCAGCTTTTCTTTCCATCTATTTTTAGAATGTAACTCATGCCCAGACTGACTGATATCTTCCCCAGGTTCCTTGGAGGGCCAGTTGGACTTTAGCATCAACTTATTTTCCACTGGGGAACACGATGAAAAGTAAATTAACTACATTTCAAAGGAATATCACAGGATCTAATTATGTGCAGCTTGTTCAATTTTTCTGTATATGAATAATGGAAGGCAGACTGTTAGATCTGCATTTTGCTGGCTTCAACCATATTTTCTAATTGGAAAAAAGTAGTCAGTCTCAGGGGATTTCACCATGGGAAGTGAATCTGAGATTATTTCAGATGCTAACACTAATTGAAAAATGGTTTTCAGTGGCAGTGTAGCAGGGTCCTTCCTTCCTTCTTCACCAGCTGCACGTCCTGGAGTTCTTGTTCCACTTTCCTATGATAAAGCAGCTCCTTTTAACTAAGCTGTGGAGCAAGAACACCCACTGTGCTCTCCTCTGTCATTTGGGATCAGCCTGTAACAGTGCTGAGCAATTTCAAGTCCATTCAGCAGGAGGTGCAGATGAGCACTCAGCACAGTTGGTACAGAGCAGCAGAGTCTGTCTTCAGGAAACCTTTCCAACTACGGGGCAAAGACAACACAGAATTGCTCCAGCCTAACACCATCTCAGTTATTATTACTGAGCTTTAAAGTCGTGGATTCTGTCAGAAACCACTAGCAGCACTATTCATAGCAGCTGTATCTAGGTGAGGCATTTGCTTATATTTTGTGTTACATCAAGTGGTCTGGAAATGAGATCCGAAAGCTTTAGGGCAGTGCTACCCACCACGGATTTGTTACAAGGCTATTGTGTTCCAGTAAAACGAGGGAAAGCAGCAGTGCATTAGAAAGGGCTGGCAAACAGACGCCCCATTAACAGTGCAAAAAGACAAAAGCTGCTCAAACACTTTGACAGCCTTTTTGCCTGTGCTGCTCTCTTCCTCCTCTCACAACCCCACCCTCAGCCCTGTGCTACGCCAGATAGAAGCTCACCTTGCAGGTACTCCATTAGCGGAACACAGATCTTACTGTTTTTAGGATACTGTATTAGGTAATACAGGAGATTTCTATTCTCCTTTCAGGATTTCACTTGAAACTGTGTCCATACATCTTTCCTACTGCCACCTTCCCCTTCATAGGAGAATATACATGTAAAGGTTCAAATGACTTGCACTGTACCTCTTCTTTGGCAATACGCATGTTGTCAGTGACCTCTGAGAACACGGTGGGTTTTATAAACAGGCCTCTGTCTTCAATGGCAAGACCACCACACTCCAGCTTTGCCCCTTCTTTCTTCCCACTTTCAATCAGCTCCAGGATCTTATCAAACTGTTTTTGGTCAATCTGTCAAACGCAAAAAGAAAGCAGGCAGTGGTGACTTCGTTATTACTGTGCCAGTTCTTCATTATCCACGGCATGAAAAGATCCCTACTCCTGGGATCACTTAGTGCAGTGCAATTCCACTGCATTCTGTTTTTAAAAACAGAATCATCTTTCAAGGACCTCACAGACCAGTAGCATCTTCTGGTTCTCTGAAGTTCTCATCGCTTCATAAGCACAGAGGTCACGTGCTGGGAAGATGTGCAGGACCCCATAGCACTTCTGACCAGTTCGTGCTCAGCATGCAGCACTGCACTGGAGGTGTAGAATCACAGAATAGTATAGTCAGGTCTCAAACAAATGGATGTGGCTATGCAAAGATGCATAATTAAGCAATGCTACGCCTTATTACAGCAGGCTGCAGATGGTAAAATACTTACAAAGATGTTAAAAAACCATAAAACTAACACAAAAACCAACAAATCCATGGCGGTTAATTAAACACAAGACTCTGCCACTGGCTCATGGTTGCCTGGCAGCCTGGGAGGTTATTCTGAATGCCAGTTATCACCAAATGCTTGTACTGGTTCAGTGCTCCTCCCTAGACATCTGTTTTAATTTTGACAGGGCCAGTTGCCAGTTGGGACTGTTTACACGGAGCATTTCACATTTGACTCCTTCAGATTACAGACTATATCCTGCCCCTTGTTAATCCTGGCCACACGCAATCCAAGTTTTCATGCTTTTAGACAAATATCAAAGCTTCAGGAGGGTGTCCTCGGGGCACTTCTGTACAGTGAAAACAGAACAGTACATCTCCTGTCACACAGATGTGCATATCACATGCACTGTGGACTGCTTGTACTGAGTGCCCACGTTCCTTCATGTGTTCAGGTGCTACCCAAGAAAACGCTGCATGGCACTGCATGAGGAAATCTGTGCCCTGGTGCAGGACACAGGGTGTCACAGGCAGTTTGGCAGGTGTCATGCATATTGTCTATTTGTCTCGTTGCTTAGCTGCCAAATGTAAATAATTTGAAAATATCTGCAACTGCTTTCCATCCTGGCACGTCTGTGATCCAGACCAATCCAGTTCATCCACTTCACATCACAGAAAACAAAACAAGGATATTTATACAGCTGTAACTTGTTGCAAGGCAAACTATAGTTAGATTAAAAGACACTGGGGAAAGAAAACATTTGTAAAAATGACATGCAAGGGTGGAACTGTTTGTCATTGTAACTAGAGCTTGCAAAGTTTGTTTAAATTCTGTCCCATACTCTACTATTATTTATGGTTTCAGGATTGCCTTCTATTAAAAACACACGATCTGATAGAGCAAATTCTATTTTTTGTCCAACTCAATCAAAAGAAAAGACTTTTACAGATTACCATCATGCTGAGAACCCCCAAATCTTTAAGTCTTTTTTCATTCAAGCCACAACTGTGAGAAGCAGATTCTCTTTTCCCAAACCCAGTATTTGTAATCTTACAGAATAACCCCACAACTGCGTTCAACAGACCGACTGACCCACGCCCTTTTCACTTACGTGTTCTACTTTCATGCTTTAATTCTAACATACACAAATGTCTATAGTCTAAGAAAAGAATTCACTGTCTTAAAATTCATGTGATAGGGCTTGGGCTGAATAATTTCTGGCTAGCAAGTGCCACATAGAAGTTTGAGTGTTTATTGCCTTCCTATAGACCATGCTTCACAGATCTCAGCATTTAAGGCTTTACAGCAGCAAAGCTAGTCTAGCCTCGTTCCAATTTAATCCCTGCTCTAGTCCACTAGGACCTCAGTCTTATAGGATGTACTCTGCTTTTCACAGTTTTGTAAATGCCCTGGTTAACCAGCTTGTCATCTGTACAGATTTACTTTATTATTTCCTATGACACAGTTCACAGGAATCCAGAGTTAAAAAGTGCCCTTGGTCAGTTGTTTGAGGTTGGCACCTTACTCAAACAGTCCTGATCAGCCCCCAGGTTTCTTATGGTGTCCTTTGAATCTCAGCCAGCCCACACAGACACCCATGAGTTTTGGAGAAGTCACATCACAGGCATGCCTCATTTCTATTTAAGTTTAATACTGTTTAAATTTGATCAGAGAAGCGCAGTTTATAACAGCATAATCCAACACTGTAGCTGACACAGTATTTTCCCCACACCCATGTTTCACCAGCATCCATGCCAGTACAGTAATCCACATCAGGGAACTGATCTGAGTAAAGCGTTTCTTCCCCATTTCCAAAAAGGCTGCTTCAAACCTGAATCGGCCATTTCCTCAAGCTAACTTACAAGCACAGTACAACATAGGAAGGAGCAGCTGCAAACAGCACCAATTCTCCAGGACTAGCTTGCATCAACTTTAAGTTCTTGGATACTACTGCCTATCACCCTGGCTGCCCTGTGCCAGGCTATCCCAGCAGCTCCTTAAAGTATGCTCAGCCACAGAGTGGTTTGCTTTCACTGAACACTAATTCAACATTGAGACTGCAGAAGATGTCCTGTTTCAAACAATCTGAACTCTGCCTCAAAGTTCCTGGTCCTGTTGTCTGGCCAAAAGCACCTGAAGCTGGTGAAGGATCAAAAGGACCACGGGCTACCAACACTACAGCCTAAGGTCAGGCTTCAACTCCTCCACCTAGTTAGCATCTAAGGCAGTGATCATCTCAGAAAGAGGTCTATACAGCAGCTTCTGCACAGTTTGGGTAACATTGCATAAGTTGCCCCGTAGAAGGAGAGTAAAACAATGACCTGGACCTGAGGCAGCTGAGCCCTAAGGTAGAGAGATGAAAAGAAAGATGAAGAAAGATGTTTTCTTCTCTGGTAACTCTTCCCTTCTCCATCAGTTTAAAATAATCCCCATCCTCCCAGCAGGTTACTGCATGTACAGAGAAGTCTGGAAACTTTACAGTTCAACAGTAGTTTGTGGGCAGGTGTGAATCTCTGCTGCTTTCAGAAATATTTTAAGCCCTTCTGACACTGTATTATTTTTCTTCTGCTTGAACTTCTGCGTGTTGCATCATAAAGGGGAGAGCAACCATATCTGCAGAGGAAGTAGTTGTTTCTTTACACCAGAGCCACATGAAAGCTTTAACAGTTTCCTTCCACTTTCACAATGCTTTCCCATCTTGGCCTTGAGAATTGCACGCAGAGAATTTCAAGTGCGTTCATATGGGATGATATCTCTGCTAGCTACAAGGGTAATAGGTAAGCTAGAAGGAGGAGAAGATACATGGACCATAGTTACAATCTGTACTTATTACTACCCTTAATTATAGCTCTGTATATAGCAGTGACAGCAGTGTTGTGCTCTGCCAGCCTGGCAAGCACCAAGGGCATAGATGAACAGAAATAAACAGTCAGTAACTGCTACCAAAAGCTGGTAAGTCTTAGGATGATATTATATAAATCTAACAAGCCTAAAAGCTGAGAGCTCTTAGAGGAAGTTGAGAGCATGCTGAAACTGTTTGAGGATCAACTCATCTCTCCTGAAGCAAGATCCAACATGGGATTATTTTCCCAAGAGTGCTAAGCAATTTGAAATCTCTTTCTAGACCAGTCGCAGGGAAAGATGCAGCCCCAGCACAACCCAGAGACGTACATCATTTTATACCCCTTTCAAAAGGACACATATTTATGTTCTCCCATGCATGGATCATGTGTGAATAGGCACAGAGATCCAGGCAAAGGGAGGCAGATGTCCCCAGTCATCCCTTCTCTGAGGGATCCCATAGAGCATCAAAGAAGAAAATCTGTGTCATACTACAAGCAGGATGCCTGGGCTATAGCTTTCTGGGACTCTCCCTTTATTTTTGGAAACAAACAGTGGCCCTGCAGAAGATCTGACTCAAGGATCATCCTCCTCCAGAGCTCTTGACTTCAGCTTGGATTCCCTTGGAAGGAAGAAATAAGATGAAGGCTCTGGCAGCACTGACAAAACTGTTTGCAACATCAGCTTGGCATGGTTCTTCCTGCTAATTCAGCTGAAACTTCTCCAAAGGATCAGAAGCAAGGCAGAGGAGGAGATGGAAAGTGGGGACTCAGGAGTCTCTGGGTTTTAACCACTTGTCATCACCAGCATAGCCAAACACAGCCAAGTAGCTGAAATGGTTGTTTCTGCAGCTGCACCCATCTGTGTATCACTGTTCCTCACTGTAACATGCTTTGTATTACCGTACCAGGGAGGCAACCCCTTCCATAATACTGGATAAGAAGTGAATTAAATACATTTGTGTTTAAGAAATTACAACATCACATTTCAACGGTTTTGACTGATTCATATTTAAAATAGAGAGAAAAATAGAACCACAATACATTACTCACCCTTACCCTTACAGGCTTCTGCTAGGACCATATTTCACATGGATAATATTTTCAGAAGGCAAATTAGACAAAAACAACCAGAAAACCAAATAACAATTGCTTTCAGGCACACAGTTACCTGGGGCCCTTGCTCAGTTCTGGCATCAAAGGGGTCTCCAACAAGTCTCTTCTTGGCATACTCCACGCTGCGCTTGACAAACTCTGGGTATATCTGCTCTTCCACAAACACTCGTGAGGCAGCTGTGCAGCACTGCCCTTGATTGAAGAACACACCTTGATGGGCACATTCCACTGCCAGGTCCACTGCAGCACAGACCAGGAGGGAGAAGTGTTAGCACATGCACAGCTTCAGCCGGTCAGTGTTCTCAGACCTGCTTTTCGTCCCATTTCTCTTTTGAAACACTTCTTACAAAATGCTGACAATGATCCACACCCACTGAAGGCACTCACAGGGGCTCACACAGCCCTTAAACCAGCTAGCTCTCTTATTATTTCCACCCCCTCTCCTGTCTTTTGCCTGAGACTAGTTTGCCACAGCCACAGATATCTTCTTCCATAAGGAGTCATTAAGGGCATTAACCAGTTTCTGTCTGCAGTGGGAATTCAAATGTGGATTCCTAAACACAATGCAAGTTCCCAAAGACTTATTTCAGCACTGACTGTTTAGAAAGCAATGTGCCCTTCTGTTGTACAGCCAGCTCAGACCCTCTCCTTGCAGTACTCACAGTTAGTAGGTGACACAAGTGTCTCTGACACTCAATCTCCACTGCACAACACAGAAGAGTAGAGAGTATTTTTCCCAAGCCAAACAGAATTCTCAAATCATTTTGGTAGGCACAGTTCACACATCTTGTAGTGTTCCTCATTAACCAAACATGTGAAATGAGTTGTACAGGCTCCCAGGATAGAGGTGGAAGCTGGATTAGATCAGGTCCTATGGAATTCTCCTGTCATATGAATGCCTGGGGTGGGGGGTTATATTTTAGGAAACTGCTTTCCCCACCACTTTGCTCAGGCTATGCTGTACCACAAACCACAGAAGAGAAGGTACCACAACAGCAGATGTGCACCAACGCAGGATTTGTCTGCAGCTACAGCCATCCCCAGGGAAAGCAATGAGGTCTCCTCATTTTTCATGGGAATGGCCCCCATGCTGGAGAAGAGCTCAAGTGCAGCCCAAGGTCATCCTGCTCTTAAGCAGAGGTTTCCTCCAGCCTTTAGGGTAGAGGCAGCAGCAGCAAACACCAGCCCTGCTAGCTGCCAAAGGACAGCAGAGGCAAACAGAGCACCACATTGTTTCTTACAGCAAACAAACACAGCAGCCAATACTTACAGTCTGCATCTGCACACACAATGCAGGGGTTTTTTCCTCCGAGTTCTAATGTCACCCTTTTCAGGTTGCTTTTAGAAGCAGCTTCCTTGATCAGTTTTCCAACCTGCAGCATTGAGACAAAGAAAGGGCATGGGCAGTTTCCCCTAAGAGTCTTAAAATGTTAAAAGTGTAAAGTGTGATGCCAAAAAAGGTCAAAGAGCCTAGCAGGCAGAAGTCAGTGCTTCTCATACAGAGAAGCTGTATGAGCACTGTCAGAGCAGTCTCATACAGTTTGAGTTTCCTCCTGCTGTGATAAGCTGGGTCAAAACCAGCCCCGGAATGCCTGTTCTAAGCAGATCTGAAATGATGGGCTACATGGGAGACCTACAGAAACTGCATTCTGAAGTTACCAGCTACCCACAGCTGCAGAATAAGGCATCTCCCACTCAACACAAACTAGTGAGCAGCACTGGCACTCCATGGGCCTCTGAGGGTTATTTGTAAAGTGCTACTATTAAAAATCAAGAATTCAACTTCTTCAGATAAAACTTTCCAGTGCAGTAATAAGAACTAACCTTTCCTCCCTATTACCACTTTCATGCCAGAAAGCTATGGAAAGATACAGACATTTTGGAGAGCCATTTTGAAAGGGACTCTAAGAATTGCTTAGTTTCAACTCTCCTGCTAGCACAGGGTTGCCACTCACTTAGATCAGGTTGCTCAGGGAAAAACCTGTGTCTTTCTGACTGTTTGGGCTGAGCTGTTCCACAGTGGACTCATATCCCTTCCAAGACAATATCTGACAATATCAGCAGATAAATTCTGACCAGCTTTGCTGTAGCACTCACTGCACAGCAGCCTGCTCAGGTAATCTGATGGAGGTTATCTGGCCAACTCCCCTGAAGAGAAGGATTTACTCTCATTTCACACTGTAATCCAAATAACAAACCAAGGATATTTCTCCCCAGTTCCCTAGGAAAAAAACAAAAACAAAAACCAAAACTGCTCACATGAAGAGCATAAATCAAGTGTCAGCATAATTTAGTAATCTAATCTTGTTAGAGATAGTATGGATTAAAACACTTCAGGAGTTCCAGTTAATAAGCATTTTATTTTAGGTATGACTTTATTTTGCATCTGCTTTTCTTGTATCTTACCTTGGCATATAGCAATCAACTTCATTTCTGCCTAAAAATATTGTTGCCCTGCAACACAGCTGTGAGCAAGGAAAGCACATGATGACATCAAACCAAGTGGTGTAGTTGACACAATACAAGTGATGCCATTCAGAGAGACCTGGACAGGCTCAAAAAGTGGGCATGTGAAAATCCAAAGAGGTTGAACAAGACCAAGTACAAGAAACTGCACTTTAGTCAAGGCAGTCCCAGACAGCATAGGGACCGGGAGAACCCAGTGAGCACAACCTGGCAGAGAAGGACTGGGGTGGGATCCTGGTGGACAAAAAGCTGGACATGAGCCAGTAATGTGAGCTTGCAGCCCAGAAAACCAACAGTATCCAGGGCTTTATCAGCAGAGGGGTGGCCAGCAGGGAGAGGGACGAGATTGTCCCCCTCTACTCTGTCCTTGTAAGGCCCCATCTGAAGTACTGCATCTAAGCCTGAGGCACCCAGTACAGGAATGATGTGGAGCTGTTGCAGAAGGTCCAGAGGAAGGCCACTAAGATGATCAAAGGGCTGAAGTAGCTCTCATATGAAGATAGGCTAGGAGCTGGGCTTGTTTAGCTTGGAGAAGACTCAGTGAGAGAAAATGTCACTGTGGCCTTCCAGTACTTGAAGGGAGCTTACAAGCAGGATGGGGAACCAACTTTTTTTACACTGATAATGATAGGACAAAGAGGAAGTGGATTTAAACTAGAAAACGGGAGACTTAAGTGAGCCATTACAATGAAATTTTTTGCTCCGAGGGAAGCAAGGCACTGAACAGGCTGTACAGAGAAGCCATGGATGTGCCACCCCTGGAAGTATTCAAGGTTGGATGGGATACTGAGCAGCCTGATCTAGTGGTTGGCAACCCTGTCCATGGCAGGACGGTTGGAACTAAATGACCTTTACTGACCCCACCAACCTAAACCATTCTGTGTTTCCATGAGGCAGCTAGCTGGCAATTCTAAGTCAGCATTTCTCATGGTTTGCCCTCGTAACTCAAGTTGGAGTCCTGAATGTAGAAGTACAGATGAGTCCTAATCACTTAGCAGCCTAACCGTAGAGACAGGAGAAGTGATACATCATGCTGCAGATGAACGTACCTACGTAAGAAGTGTTACTACAAGCTAGCTGGCCCAGGAGGAGCAAGTCAAACTGAGGGAAAGAAAGAAATCTAGATGGGAAAACTCTCAAGGAGTCTAGTCTGTCATCAGCATTTTCAGGCTGGCACTGAGCCCAAGCTGGGGCTTAAAAACTAAGTCAAAATGTATTTTGAATTAGCTTTACTTCCTGGCTCAGAAACAGTAGCATTATGCTGCAAACACTGCAGAGGTGCAGCTGAACTCACAGATGGGTGGAGGGGGAAGAAAACGCTTCTAAATCACACACACATTAGCAAAGAATCCATCTCCCTTGGTGCTTCCTGCACACCCATGGATTAGAAAGACAAGCACAGCATCTATAGGAGCTTTTTGCCCATAGGCTCCAGCAGCTGAGGTTTTCCTTGTGCCCCTAATCCACTGGATACTCCTTTTTCATTAAAAACCCAAACAGATTCATGTGGGCTGGAAAAGTCTATAAGCTCTATTGTTTTCACACAGCCAGCATCTAATCTGGGCTAAAAGTTTATGATCTAGGATTTGGAGAGAAGTATGTATCTGGATAAGCTCTGAGATTAGGCCAACTATCAAGAGAGTAAGAGCTCACTGTGAACTTTTACTTTATTGAGTTCACATTTGTTCCTATTACTTTTTTATACAGAAACAGAGGCTTAACACACACTCTCTTTTGGGTTAAGTTAAGCAGTTAGTATGTACACAAAGCCACTAGATGGTACTGTTGTTAAATGCAATAGCTTTTGAATGTTTAGTGATTTACCTTTATTGACCAAGAATTCCATTCAAGGTAATTAGCAATAATTAAGTAACTTGATCACACTCTGCAATTATGAGTATAGGCATTAGAATGCACAAAGTCATCAAAAGATCATAAAAATAATATTATTCAAGGAAATAAAAGCAAAGAGACTACGTTTGCCTTAACTGAACCTATTGGTGTTAGCATTTCCATTCTTAGCACGCTGCCCCTTCTTCAGGGTTTGTGCATAAACACTGCAAGAAAAATCTAGAATAGTGAGTGGAAAAAAAAACAGTCACATTTACAAGCATGCTTTTGTTTGAGAAATTGCAGCAGCGATTACTAGAGACAAATTCATGTGTGTGTCACAGCTGTATCTCACTTCTATAGACAAGGCCAAGCCATGCATTCCATTCCCCTACACAGATGAGGATGGCTGTAGGTGTCTGATATTGCAGAGGCCTCACTGCCACCCCCCTCCTATGCAAGGCAGCTATTGCTGTTTACAGGAAAAACAACAAATAGAAAGGTGCCATACTGTGCAGGTCTCAAAAGACACTCAAATGTTAATTCCATCTGCATCACTGGAGGAAGCTGTAGGCACAGGGCCATGTTTTCATTTAAGTCCTAGCTCAGAGTTAACTAAAGCCAAGGAAGAATTCTTCAGGCCTCTGAGTGACATGTTTTCCAGTAACACACATGCAGGACAGGATCAGCAAGCAAACTTGCCCAGAAGCTCCATCAGGTCAATGACACGATGTTAAATAACTGCCAGTTACTCCTGTAGACTGTCTTACCTTGTGTCAGAACATCTATTACAGATCTTATAGATATGTGGCAGTTTGGCAAAACCCCAGTTTCCAGAGGTGGGATTGTCACAAGCACAGGAACCGGCAGTAAAAAGAGATGGACCTGACCTAGACAAATCCTGAGCACTTCTGAGAAATCCTGTCTCACAGAGCACGATGGAAAATAATGTTGGAAATAACTGATATTTCATTGGTATTATCTACTATGAATTGCTGCCTTAGAAGCAAATACAAAGAGGCACAGTAGGTGTTTTATAAGGAATCCATCACCTACCTTTGTCGATCCAGTAAAAGCAATTTTATCAATGCTCTGATGGGTAGAGATGGCTGCTCCAGCTGTGGGGCCATAGCCTGGCACAATGTTCACCACACCTGGAGGGAAACCCACCTAAAATAGAGGTTAAATACAGCTTTGTAGAGAGGGATTTAAGGGATTTTGAACACTCAGAAGTCTCTCTGCACTCTTGAGAGCTGCAGTTCAGTTCCCAGGATGCTTGAATTACTTGCCCTGTATTCTTATGGATGAGGACCAACCCTAAAAACAATCACAGTAATTTCTACAGCATTTCCCTTGCAAACATTTCTATAGCATTTCTAGGAAGGCTGTGCAAAACTCCTTTATCTATGTAGCCTCATGGAAGATAAGTGAGCAAAACATCTTAGCCTTTAATAATGAACAGCACCACCTGAATTTACTAATCTCACTGAAATCAGGTTAAGGGCACAAACATACATTTCCCTATTAACATACAAGAAACAGATATGCAAAAAAAAAAAAAGTCTTTAACATGCCTAGTGAATGATAAAGTACTTCAAAGCATATGTAGAACTTAAGAACTGCAAGCTGCAGACAAGGAGCCCAAACTACATACATCAGTATTTTCCAGACTTTCCAGTAACACGGCTGTGTGCTATCAGCTGGAATAGATATGGGTGAAAATAACAGCCATGCCTAGGAAATGCCAAGGCTCAGTAGGAATTCTTGGAGGAGTCCCAGTGTCAAACCAAACAAGAGCAAGTTTTTGGCCAAACTTGGCCCCCAGGTACTTCTTTGCAGATGGAGCCAAGGGGTAAATGAATGAAAGTTTGTTTTGAACAAAGGTTGACATTTGTGGTTCTTCAGGGGCCAGAGGGATTAAGAAGTCAGTAAAACCTCACTAGATGATGGGCCTAATAAAACAGGAATACAAGAGCAGATGGTAACAGACGTATGCCAGTTTCCACCACATTTACAACTTCGATTATCCAAATAGTAATTTTGCCAAAAGAGACAAATGGTAAAACTTCAGATGAAATTCTAGCACAAGGAGAAGTGTGGGACTTACTGGTCTGTTCTTTACTTCCTGAAATAATAGTTTCAAGGATTAAGCTCTTCGAAGCTAGCCCTTCCCTACCACTGATTGCAGAGGCAGTTTTCCCTGCATTTGCTAACAGGGGAATGGCAGAATATTAAATGATTCCTTTTGCCCTTTCCACACAAAATCTCAGTACATGAAGCTGTTCCTTCCTAATACAGAAAACTGAAATAATTGTTTATGTACCACCTTACCAAAAAAATTGCTTTAGTAAGATTTTTTTGTTTGTTTGTTTGTTTCTTTGTAAATCAGGGCAATCTGATTCTACTATGCATGTGATAATAATAAGTGACAGTTCAATAGAGTTTGCATTTTGGCTAATGAGTTTTCAGAAAGAAATATTGAATGTCAAACTGTGCAAGTAATGGTGTTTGGAGTCAGCAGCAAAGCCACAAGGAAGTAAAAATTGGTTCAGGTCTCCCTGAGCTAAATTTTTTTCCTGTTTTTCTGCAGAAATGCAAGCCAAAATATTTTGGCTGGCCTCATGTTATTTCTTTCAACCAAACACATAGCTTTGCTTGTATACCAAAAAATCACCTGCATCCTTTTAAAGATTAAAAAAAGTTTAACTTGTTCTTCTAAAAGCCCTCAAGAAGTCTAGCTGGTTTTGGGTGGAGAAAGGGACACCTTCAAATCAAATTATTCTGCCCTAATTGTACTTCTGTATTGAAGCACAACTGCAAGAAATGGACAGCTTGGACTTCATCTCAAAATATTAACCTTACCAGAACAGAGCTGCTTTTTGTGGGGAAATGCTATACAAGTGTTCAAAGAGCTGTATGTCAGAATGACACGCAAAAGATCAGTTGCATGGCAGGGCTACCAGAAGTAATGACAACTGCACCCTACGCTCACTAAACTTGTGAAATCTTATCAAGTCAATGAGCTGCAGGATACACTTAAGATGAAGTGCTTTTGCACTTCCTTTGCAGGCAAAGAAGCCCTTTGTGTCAATTACTAACATTTCATCTATCCAAGAACAGACAGAATCATCATTAGACTGAGTCTAACAAACGGATTATTCCAGTTGAGAGGCAAAAACATACCTCCAAACCTTTTAGTTTTCATTCACAGTTAGTCATGTAATTAACTGTAGGAGGCTGAGGATGTATTAACCAGTCCTGGAAGGTACTGTGCACCTCCCACCATATCTGTAACTAGATCTGAGGGCACTTTGGATCCTACCTGACAATACCTAGACAACACTCTGAGATCTCAGCTTACTACCCTCCCTCTGCATCTATATAGGAGTTGGCCTTAAAGACCAGATGTAGCTAAATTCTTCTTTAAGCCACGGAAATATGAAGAATTGTTTCTTATGGCAATCACTGTCTTTTTTGAATTATCTCACTTAAAAGCTCACTGTTGTCTATCATATTCCTTTTTGTCCCATTGCCTAATAAAACTGAGCTTTCATTTTTTTTTGCTCATTTGGGAAAGTAAAAGGCAAGGAAGAAAAATAAAAGCATCAGCAACTTCCTAAAGAAGGAGGAAAGCCTACAAGTTCTGTGCTCTGTTACCTGTCATCCAGCCCCTGCCAGTCAGAAAAGCCTTTGGGAAAAGAGGCAGAATACAGGTTATTCTCACACCTCATCATATACTTAACAACTTTCAAACCTACTCAGACAATTCAAACTGTTACGGTCTTAGAAGAAAAGTACCTAGGTGTGTTATTCAGGTTTCCTTACCTCCTTAATCAGCGAGCCAATGTACAGTGATGTTAGAGGAGTTTGTTCAGCTGGCTTAATAACCAAAGTGTTTCCACAGCACAGCGCCGGTGCCATCTTCCAAACCAGCATCAGCAATGGGAAGTTCCACTGCAAGAACACAAGGTCATTTGGATCAGCCACCTACTCACTTCCACACAGCACTTCTCCCACCTTCAGACAGCTCAGGGAGAAACCAACAACTGGGAGCACAGCCATAAAGGTGTGTGTTTACAACACTGCATTTTCTTGGTCTACAGAGCATATCTTCCTGTACCACACTGAGATCCCAAATATTGTTGGCAGTGCTCAAGTTAACTCTAATTCAAACAAATCTTTGCAACCTCATTGCTCACAGAAGTCCGATCACACTTTAAAATTTTGTCTGTTCACAGAAACCATGGTGAAGGTAGTGTTCTGATGCATCACTCTCATACAGAGTCCTTATATGGGAGAACTGAAGTTGCTCATTGAAAGAAACTCAGTTTTCTGTATTAGCTAATCCCTGAGGAGTTAGGAGTTGCACAGTATCATTCATTTCCAGGTTTATAATTAGAAAGCTTCAGTGGATTGTTCAGTCATGAAAGTCCAGGGCAGCCCTTAGTCTCCCTCCATTCTGTAAAATGCTCCTTTCCAATTAGTTTTCTTATTTGGAATCAGGAACAAGTCCACATCAGCTTCCTCTGTGCTAATCTGTCTCATGGTCATGTGCATTTGTAGATTTTGGAGCCTAAGCAAGAAGTGGAAAAATCTAGCTCACACTGAATCTCAGTAAAGGTCATTTGGCAACAGAAAGGATTTCTTCATTAAAAATAATTAAGGCTGCTTTAGGGATGATGGAAGTGGGCCAACAATAAAGGGACTTCTTGTCAAGTCTCAAGCCGCGGGCCCTCAGCTAGCAAGGAAGAAGCTAAGCATGTTAGGAATCCACAAATTCACACTCACAAATAAGTTAACAGTTTAGATTTTAAGAGATGAGTTCTGTTGTAACCCAGAGATAAAGTGGAACTTCAGTTGATGTGCTTCAGCTTTTCTCTCCCCATCTTCCAGACCTGTCTCATTTCAGAGATTTCTCCAATGGCCACATTCTATGATTTACCTATTTGTCTTTTTCTCCTAAACCTTGCGAAGGCCTGAATTCTCATCTTTGGCCACCTGCACCTTCACTACTTTTCTACACTTTCAGAGCACAATGTGACTCCACTGAGACCTTCCTATTGCAGAATGGCTGGTGAAAGTAACAGAAACAGATATGAAGGCTGCCTAACAGTATCACCCTGGGATAAAGTTCAGTCATATGATGCACCTTCCAAAAAGTGCCCCTCACTAGGAGGGTTGTTTAAGTATAGTCAAGCCACAGTAAAAAGGGAGGATTGTTAATTGGCCTAGGGAGACATGCAGAACAGTGACAAATCCTTTTATATCAGGTCAAACTGGAAAAAAAAATTGAAGAGGATTTGTTCTAAGTAAACTGGAGACAGATGTGGCTTTGTTGACCCCAATCATGCCTTTTGCAAACAGTGTTGAACTTGAGACAAATCTGGTCTTATTATTGTATTTATTGCTAGTGTAAGGCCCACCTGAAACAGTAGAAGTCCCACTATTTTCCTTTCAGTGGCCCTCCAAAGCACCCTACATGCAGGCTTTTAAAATGATCAATTCCGAAAGTGCCAAAGGTGGCTTAAGTATAACAGTGAAATATCTTTTAATTGATGATCAATTATGCTTATAACACTAATGATCATTGTTGATATACCTAATGTTTTGATATTGCATCACAAGTTCTAGCTGCTTACAAGCAGACACTTTGCTTGTTCAAACAGAAAAGCCATGCAGGTGTCATTAAGCCAAATGCCTGATAACTAGTAACAACTGTTTCCCAATTTGCCTAACCCTCATAGGGCAAAATTGACTTTACCATCTTATCACCAGGGTTACAAGCTCAGTCCAGCTAAAGGAAAAGGTAGAATTTCTCCAGATGTCTTTGGGAATTGGTCCAGACCTGGTATCTGCAGGGTCCAGAAAATCCCAAACCACATATGCATTTTATCCCATCTCCCTTATAACCTGATCCCATGGGTCAAAATATTCCATGGACTCCACTGATCCAAGTATCCAAAGAATCTTGGCACACCACCACTTGCTTCATGGCCTGTAGGATACCATGTTCAAAGCATTTTACAACCAGACGGGAATGAACTATGTCTCCCATAGAGCTGTAAAGTCTTTCTGGTTGTCTGTTTAAACAAAGCAAGCAGCACATACTAAAACTGGAGGTATTTCAAGAACCAGCCACATCGTCCCCTAAGCAGAGAAAGAAAGCTCAAGGAAAAACTGCATTCAGTGAGATTTGATCACAGAAAGCTCAGAGAACAGCCAGGAGTTATTAATAATGGATATGTTCTGAAACTCCAAACTATGCATCAGCTCTAGGCAGCAAGAAGCGAGCACATGTAATGACAAGATGGTTGTCCTAGCAGTGGAAGAGTCAGAGAGCTCTGACTGCTCTCTGGTGACTGCTGTCATCCTTAGAGAGGAACAGAGCAACTGATTAGAAGACCCACCCTTCCACTGCAGAGGATTTTGCACTGCCAAGAGCAATTGGCATGGGGGTAAAACAAGAAACTACATCAAGCAACTGAAATGGGAGTTCACTGCAGAACAGCTGCACTTAACTAGGAATCAAATTGCTGCAGTACAAGATAGGGAAATGCACATACACTTCCTCCATTTCCAAGGGCACCATTGCTGTTACTTACTGGAGTTATAGCTCCACAAACACCCATCGGTTCATGCCTGGTGAAACAGACAAAGTTTTCATCTGCAAAACAAAAGAATAAAGGAAAAAGAAAACACAGTAAAAATCTTTGCTTCTACAGGAACAGTTAAGATGACTGCAAACAGAGAGATTGGAGACAGATCCAAAACCACATTAGACAAAGAATCCTCTCTCTGCTGATCTTAAAACACACCTCCAGGTGACCTCAAATGGAGGAGGATCCGTTTCAGAATAGGTCCAAGGGTGCACTGTGACTGCTCTAGGTCTGTAGTCTAGAAGATCTTTTGAAAAAACTCAACTATCAGAACATTTGACAGTGCCCTTCCATTATTTTCCCAGAAATCTATCCAGGCATTTATAGTCCTCATTTGAGTTTGAATCTCAGAAGATACCACTTAAAATCCACCCTGAGACAGAAAATAAATGCCTTCCATTGCAGGTTTTCAGAAGCAGATCTTTCCATGCCTGTCACTTGTCCCATCAAGCCTGATCCCTTTCCAGTCCTGATTTTGGGTGTGAAGAAACTTACCCACAGGGATAGTCCTGCCCTGGATTTTATCAGCCCATCCAGCATAATATCGGAGTGTCTTTATACAACCTTCCAGATCAATGAAATAAGCCTGCAGAAAAGGTTTTCCTGTGTCCATTGTTTCCAAAGTCTGGAAAACAAACAAAATCCAACAAGTTATGTGCGTTGTCAAACACATCCATAGTTTTTTCTTAAAAGCAAAAATATCTTTCTGAAAAACACTCTCAATTTTCTTGTGTTTTGTGCTGTGGAGACAGTTTCCTTCCCTCACTTTAAAGGAAGATCTAGTTAGTACAAGTCAGGTAGAATAGAGGCAGCTGGACCCACTAACACTGATACAGGCACAAGTTGCTTTGCTCAATCACTGCAGTGAATGCACACTTTCTGTAAGAGCCCAGGAGGTGGCTGTGGGTGGGATACAGGGCTGTGGTCTGGAGCACCATTCTGAAGGAACGCAAGGCCCTTGACTTCACTGTATCTGACCTTCTGACACAGATGTTCTGGACTCCAGATGGTGCCACTAAAATCAGCCTGACCCACTTTCCTTTTATTTTTCTGCCTCATTGTCCTAAAAGCAACCTCCAAAATGCCTCTTTTATCCACAGGATGATAGAAAACACATTTTTTTTTCTTTAAACAGTGTTCTAATAAAGTAACATTTGGGCTCAGATCTCTGCTTAGACAACTGCAAGGGAGAAGTTATTTCACTGAAGCTGCACCGACATTGAGCAGCTTTAAACGAAGACCAGTCTCAGACTGCACCCTTCTCACTGTTCTGAACATTAGCTAAGTGAATACTTTGCTCTGCTCAGGTCATTAAAAGGGATATTGGTGAAAAAAGCCAGCACATCCATAAAGTAAGCAATATCCCTTGGTAGATTGAGACATCTTTGTTTACAAATGAAGTCATACCCTGTCATATTCCACAGACATTAGGGTCTAAACAGACATTCCCCTTGGAATGACTAGGATTGTTATCCACTCTGAATGTCTGCTAAAACAACTGATTTTTTAAGTGATTACTTAACACGCAACCAAAGCAGCTAGGGCTGGTTTTTCTTCAGAGAAAGTAGCAATGCCAAGAAAGTCATCCCAGATCAGAAGGACAGCAGAAAGCTTGAAATTAGTGCCCTGGTTTGTGGAAAAGGGGGCTGCTTTAAATTTGCATTTAAAAAAAAAAAAAAAAAAGGGCAGAAAATAAACAGAGCATATTTGCACACGCTTATTTCTCCCCCTTATTTGTTGGCCAGAATTGCCTTCAAACCTGGAGCTTGTGAGCCTGTTCTACAGAACTTGGAGGACATCACATGGTTCACAGAGAACATACCGGGGGAAGAGACCTAGCTTGAAACAGTCAAGCAAGTGCAGACTTCTAAATACACCCCACACATCATGCTCTCTCAGTGGGACATCAGCTTAGGAACTCTTGCATACAACAGCACTGAGCAACACAAATGCATTGCTCCTGAAGAAGTGCAGAGTAAGAGTGCTGAGTTGAGCTAGTGAAGTACAGATAGCAGCTCTAAGCTGAGAGCTACTAGGAATTGTAGGCACTATTTGTACAAATGTGCAAGTCCAACATAAAAGCTTCTTATCAGCTGCAGAACATCTTAGCCAAGGTCCTACTCCCCTTGTTTTGCACCAAAAGGATTCTTCTAGGACAGGATAGGAAATCATTAGCAGTAGTTCTCGAGTGCAGAAGTCCAAGTTAACACAGCCTCACAGCTATCAAGAGATTTTCCTGAGCCAGTACATTCAGTGGAAAAGTAGCAGATCCCACTTACACACATTCTAAACTTTGGATGACATCCAACAAGAATCTCTTTCCAGCCCCCTATTTTAGGGGAAGAAATTTGAAAAAAAAAAAAAAAAAAAAAAGAAAAAAAAAAAGTCAAATTGGCCTTGCATTTTTGTAATAAGGACCGAAGCAGATTTTGTTGGTTGTGCATTTTTTCCTTCTTTTGTGGTTTATAGGCTTTTTCTTGTTGTTGTCTCAAATATGTAGATACTACCTTAGCTAGGAGATGCAAGAGCATTGATAAACTTAAAACCAAGAAACATATTTATTGCTTTAAAAATAAAAGTAATAGTAATATCTGCAATCAATTCAATAACCAGCCAAGGTCTTGAATAAGAACTCCACTATAGATAACTAACAGTCACTGTCTATGATCCCCAGAATCATTCTGCAGAACAGTGAAGATCAGCTATGACTTCTGCCTAGATTCTTCTACCCTTCAGGTGGGAAGGAAGAAGGAGGGCTGGGAGGGAAGAGTGCATCCAGTTCCAAAGAACATATACAGTTAGTGCCAGAGCTCAGCAAAGAAATTTGGTGCTGTATCACTGTTGTTTGTTTCTCTGTGTGGGAGGCACTGTTGTTTATCTCAGACTTAAAGGGCAGGCACAAATGTCTTACTTCCATTGGAAAGAGGAACAGGAGCTAGGTCAGGACTGAACTATGGTTCTTCTTTGGAGGAACTGAAATCCATAGTACAGGACTGCAGTAACAAAGCTCAGGCTAACACAAGGATGAGTTAATCCAGGAAGGTTTTATAAACATCACTACACGTACTGAAGCCCACTGACACTGAAAAAGCTATCAGGCATTCCCTACAGCCTAAGGCAATGAGCACAGGAAAAAGAAGAGCTAGAAGATGAGACCTTTCTGCAGGATTCCCTCCTCCTTAAGTGCCCTTAAGAGGAAGTAGTGTGACAGGAGATGGATGCAGCAAAATGTTAAGGATGAAGCTGAATTATCAGCCAACAGCTCATCACAATACTTACTCCAGTAAGTCCACTATCCAATCACAATACTTACTGCCAGGATGACTCTGTCTCGCTCTAGAAGATCAGCCAGCTTGTGTAGGAGCTGTCCTCTGCTTAAGGCATCCATCTGTCTCCACTGAGACCCCCTCTGGAATGCTGCTTTTGCTGCTTCCACAGCATTATCCACATCAGGCTAGAGCAGTGACATACATAAGAAAAGGTTAGGTTACAAGGAAGATGTTGGACAAAGGCAGAGACCCCAGCAAGCTGCTTCCTAGATGATGTTGTGGTGGCTAAAACCAAATCTTCTGAGAAGATCACCTCCATTTTACTCTTGGATTTATAACCAAGCCTGCAAGCCATTTTGGGTTTGGTCTGGGCTGACAAACAACCTGAAAGTCAAAGTATCAGCAGGGCTTTTGAAGAGTAATTTTACGCAACTTGTTTGTTTATAAAATAATCCAGAATGATACAGGATGTAAGTGACACCAGGGAAAGGACGGAAAAATGAGATCCCAATTCTGTTCCCATTGGAGCTTCCCTAAGCTTGACAGGCTATTGTCCTCCATCAATCAGTCTGGTCCACACAAACGTGGGAAGGAAAGTCCCCCATGAGAGAGATCAGTTTCATCCAAGGGAACAATCATTGCTCAGATCCCACCACTACATCCCGCTTGAATGCACGCCAGTAGCAGTTACCATACAAAAACAAAAAGCTCCCTTAAATCCCGGATTGCACTTCAAGATTCTTTTTTACCAGATGTAAGGGTTTTTGTTGTCTAGTGCTCTGACAGTCATTTCACCTACCCGAACTTAGTGCCACTCTCTCAAAAGCTTTACTGCATGCAGGATCAAATCTAACTCTGTTTTTGTAAGCTGCTACTTAGGAGGGCAACAAATTCCATCACTTCTCATTAAGCCCAGCAAAGTTTCCTGTGATGCTCCGGCCACAGTACGGCCCTGACTCCTCCTTTCTCCCCTCCACTAACATACAACAACTAAAAAATGCAATGGCAAGGGCAACCTCCTGACTCAATGAAGCCAATGGAACACTGCCATCAACATCCATGAGGCCAAGACTGTACCCCCAAGCATATACAGAGCACCATTCATTCTGTCTTTGATCAGATTCCTGCTCTTTGTAATGTCTGGTGCAGCCCATACTTCACTGCATCCTTCAGCTTATGGAGAAGTCCTTGCACTTCACCACAATAGTAGGAAACCTGCTTTGGCAGGGGGGTTGGACTCAATGATCTCTGGAGGTCCTTCCAACCCCTACAATTCTGTGATTCTGTGACAATGCGTGGCTAAAGCGGGTGGACTTCAGGCCTTGATTGCTCCTCAGAGCTCTTAACCAGCTGCTCTTATAGATCTTCTCTCAAGGCTTGTCTATTCAGACTTGATCACACTAGATTCAGCTACTGTGCACAGACCCAGCAAGGATTGGCTGCTCTCCCACCACAAGAAAGCCTGTTTTGTTCAACCAAGAAAAGTGTTATGGGGAGATACACTTGGCTTACAGCAAGTCATTGTCCACTGAGGTAGCACCTTAAACTAAATTTGGTTCTTTCTTCACAAGATTGCACAGTTTTGAAGTACTCTGATGTACACTGCCAGGAAAACTACACCCTTTTAGAAGAGCACTGATGGGGAGACAATTGCAAGAGACCTGAGTTGCTACAGGAGGTAAAGAGTGGCTATGGTCAAGCAAGCATGGCTATGAAGCAGAGGTAGCAAGCAGCCACCATACGCAGGCAGGCACATCCTGCCTGGTGCCTGTCCCCACAGGCAGAACAGGGCTTCAAAATGGTTTGCTTCTGTGCACTTAATCTGGAATGCCACAGAAGCCAAGAGGCATCACCAGTTACTGTACACTCACACGTTCCTCATCCTTCTTGCTCAAATGAGGGCTTAAGCTAAAGTAAGACAACATTATAAGACACAAAGCAGACAAAAAAAAAAAAAAAAAAAAAAAAAAAAGGAGAATGTGTCAGGTTTAAAGCAGCAACAAATCACCTCCTGAGATCAGGCTGGGAGCATCAAGACCTCATGGCCTTGCTACCACTCTGGCACTTGCAGCACTAAGAATAAGATGGCTGCATGTGCAAAGGACTTCAGTCTCCACTCTAAGCAAAGGAGCACCCAAGCCCTGCTGCAGCTCCTGTAAGTGGTAGTGGTGGTCTGGTGAAGCCCAAAATGTCTCAGCAAAGCCATCTCTCATTTTGATTGCAAGCTAGAGATACTGTCTGGAGCCTCTTCTCCCTAAAATCATTTGTACTGGGGTGGAAAAAACAAAAACAAGCAAACAAAACCATAAAAGCAATGGCCCTTGTTCATCTCCTGCAGAGTCTACTACCTGACATGCTTGTATCTTTGGAGGCACAGCAAAGGGTGTATCTTAACAGATAGAAGCACCATGGTGATACCATCCAAAAGCCCTGGGGCGAATATTTACTGAAACTGTATTCATTCTCATCCCCTTTTCTTGGATTTGCAGGGCACGCACAGCAGCTCAGAGAGCACAGTCAATATTACAAACAAAAGCTTCCCCAAAACACCCTCAGGGGTAGCACCACCAAGTGAGACCTTGTGAGCTCACACAGTTTCTATAGGCCTGAGAGACAGCAAAAACAAGGAAGTCCTTCAGGAAGGCTGAAATGCTGCTCTTAATCCATCCTGTTGTGACTAGACATTAGGGGAGTCTGAATGGTGTGCTCATTACAAGCATGTTGCAATAGGTAGGCACAATGTGTGACAAAGACAGACTTCTAACTGTCAGAGTGCCAAGGACACCCTGCAGCACACAAAACCACAAAGAGGTCCATGCAACCTGGTGCTCAGTTTTGATCTATACAGATTTATTATTACATAAAAAGCTTTACTAAGAGAACACTGAAGTTGCAAAGTCAAGCAACGCAGGATTGGGAAATGCCAGCAAACCTTCATACCCACCCTGGATGTTTGCATTATGATACAAGCCCCAGTTACACAACCGCATGCCATTTTCCCCTGAACAAACTCATGATTTCTTTGTTCTAAGCCATGTCCTCCACCTTCATTCTCTACTTCAAATTCTGCTCACCACTGCTCCATTTCTATGGAGTCCCTTCTTCCTCTCTCCTGCCTCAGCACCTGGCAGACCATCACTCCAGTGCCTTGGTGAACAGGGAGAATATCTGCAGAAAAAGCCTTGCTCTGCTTCAGGCTCAGTGCAGACAATATGGCTTTGATCCAGATAGTAAGGAGACATACTGGGGATGGAGCACACTCCATGCTGACTATCTTACCTGAACTTCATGGGAGAATCCCCACTGTGCACATCCTCAGAAAGGCATTTTTCCAACACAGGCAGGACCGTGCCCAATTAGAAGACATTCACAGCTGAGCCACTCTCCAGCTAGCCCCCTGCAGTCTATGCTTCTCATTGCTCTAACTTTAGAACCAAAATTTCAATCGGCTACAAAGAGCAACTTAACAGTCTGTAGTGTCCCAAACCATTATCTATGGTATGGTGAGCTTGCTGTGTGGAATAATGCTTCTGCAGCCTCTTACCTCAGCCCACATCCATAGTCTGAAGGTGGGCAAGATGCCTGTGAACAAAACATGCTCATAACCCTCTAAAGATACACTACCAAAGACCAACTGCCCAGACCACGACAGATGATCCATAACACCCATGCTGCTCAGTGCCAGCCATGAACCTTTGCCAGGCAGCTAGGTGGCAACTCCTTTAAGGATGGAGTTCCTTTCTCCCATCCTTGCTGGACATTAGAAATCTACTAGAAGAGCTTATCTTCAAGTGTTACCGATAGGACTAGAAAAATGATAACAGCTAATGTATTTTTTTTTTCCTTGACACAGTAACACAGCAAGGGACAGTAGAAGTTCCAGGGCTGCACCACTTCTGAGGGTCAAAAACCTAATGAAGAAAGTTATCCCTTTTTGATTGTAGCTGGAGAACACTTGAGACACTAAGCCATTACTCTGGAGGCAGGAAGTCTCCAGGTATCCAGTAAAATCATTTGCTGCTTTATATTGTTATTGCTTTTTTTTTTTTTTAAATGCTTCTTTTACCACCTGAAACTTCCCTTTATTCCCCAACTATTCACCAAGAGAAATTGTGTTTTGAATCTTGTGACTAAAGTCTAAAACAAAACCTTTACACCTAGACTTCTAGGCCAAGTTTCAGCACCAGACTTGTTTGTCACCACTGAGACATCAGCTGCCAAATTCCCACCTCTCACAAGCAACCCAAGCAAAACATACCCGGTGTGGCCAGGGAGGGACAGGTTTCTGAACAAGGTTAAGGAAGTGGAGTCCTGCTCCCTGCAGGTTGTGGAGGCAGAGTCAAGCCTGGCACAGCACAGCTGAAGCCAGAGCCAGAACCTGCTACCCTTGCTGCAATACTCACCAACACAACTGAGCACGGCAGCCCAAGGAGACAGAACACTGAAAAGCACCACGACTCACCATTTTCTGTAGCAACAGGGAGCTCTGCCCCAATAGATTGGGGTCATAGATTTAGTATGGAGATGATTAAGCTGGCCATGGGAATTCTCAGGGAACTCTGCCCAAAGGGTGGTGGGACATCATTACGTATCACCAGCAGCCTAACAGCTGGTTTGCCAATTCTGTTAACTAACCCACTAGCAGGTCTGACTCTTCTCAGTTCCTCGTACAAACCCAATTACAGTGAAATTCATATCTGATGTAAAGGGGTAGATGAAGCTTTCAGCTGCATCTAGCATACATTCTTGCATGCAATTATTCTACATGCCTAAGAGTCAGGCACCTTTACCAAGTATTCACAGGCAGGGACTCTCCTGCAAGCTGAAAAGTCATCCTTGAATTCAGGCAAGGGCAAGTCTCAAGCAGGCAAGGCACAGGACTGGCCTTTCAGTTCCACCTAAGAATTTTCACTACCAAGTAATTAAGAAGTAGGCTTGAAATACTCATGTAATGCTCTGTAACTGCCTGAGAGACACTTAGCTCAGCGAGCAGTGGAGTCATGGTTTCTGCCTCGCAAAATATAGTTGCGTCAGAGTTGCTTCAGCTCCACTGTTTACATACCACTAAATAGAGTTATGTACTGCCCAGTTAATGCAGAGGAATTACATACATTAAGCTTTGTCTACATCTACAATTGTCCCATGGATTCACAGATCCACCATGGCACTAGGCCTCAGGGACTGCTTTAGTGGCATCCAAAAAGAACAGCTACCTTATGCACCATTTGCAGGGAGTCCTGCATCACCAAACAAGTTTGCTCCCATCTCCAAAATTATCAGGCTCTATTGACCTGCACAGCACAACACCCAGAACTGCGCTGCACTTTTCCATCTAACGCAGCTCTTAGTAGGAGAGGTTCTGCAAGGCATGGAACAGGCAAGCTTAGATACTGAGAAGAGTACACACTGCCAGTTGCTACTGCAGAGTGGTGATTAGCCAAAGCCCTGGTACATTGGGGAAGCTGTGAATCACCTTCCCATGACATACAGTCAAAAGCAAGCCTTAGGCCAGCTCTCCCACAGAGCAGTCCAGATGGCCCACATGTGATTAGCTGTTATGGACAAAGTGTTGCATCTGATTGTTTCTTACCTCAGACAGTTACCAAAACCAAGCTGTTATGCCCCAAGCAACTGTACTTACAGTGTACCAAAGCCAGGGACTACTGAAATTCTTCAGAGATATTGATTTCATTTTAAATGACAGTTATCACATTTGTGCAGGCAGCCAGAACCCATAACACCAGTCAGAAAAGGAAACCATAAGGAATTGCTAGGAGAAAGTGAGCAGTGTTGCATTACTGAGCTGAAGTTTTCCCAAACAGGTTATTTGTTGATCATATTTTTTAAAAAGTGAATTTCAGTCCAGTGATTCCAACAGGCTGCCATGCAGACTGCATGTAAACCACTCCAAAAGTGACACACGAGTTCTGTCAGGGATGTACGTCTGTTGTCATTACTATTTCCTCAGCATGGCTGCTTGCTTCCAGCTCTATAAAGCTGGAATGATGCTGAATCTCATTCCTGCAGTATTTGGTAGGCAGTTCCTATCAGGGAAAGTGACTCAGCTGAGCTAGACAAGACCGATCCCACCCAACCCATGTAATCCTCAAGCAGCACACGCACCATGCCAGCTCCCAGTCTGGATAGCCACATGCCATTAAAAGCCAGCTTTTCCTCTGTATGCTTTATGAAAAGAGAGTAAGCCCCTTTAACTCTTTTGCATCTCCTCTCTAATAACACTTACCTTGTCTCCTTCCTCAATATCACAAATTTTCTCCAGCGTCGAGGGATTGTAGGTAGGGAACTTCTTTCCACTGGTAGACTCATGCCATTCATTGTTTATAAATATCTGAGGAAAGAGCAAAATGAGCAGAACAGGTAGGAGAAGGTCAACACTGATGCAGACAAAACAGAAAAATCACAGAAGTACTCTTCACAGCTCCCAAGGCTCTTCAGCTTCCACTGATGGTGTGTTCAATCCATCTCAGTGAGACTTTATGATACAGACAGCAATTTTCCAAACTGAGCCAGAAAAATGGACAAGAAAGCCTTCATGCACCCACTTAGTTTTGAGCAAAAGTAAGACAGAGGATGGGGCCCACACAGTGTAATGCCATAATTCAGCAATGAGAAAGAAACCACTGCTGAAATCAATTTCCATGGGAACGGAAAGAGACACCAAGAGAAACCCATAGGGCTCAGGCAAAAGTTGCCCCTTGTTGCATGCTACAAGCAAAGTGTCTGCATGCAATATTACTTGGTTACTCGTATCCTGCCCTGGGCTACTTCCATAACTGCCCTCAGCACCACAAAGGAAGGTAGGAACAGGCTTGGTTCTACCCCACTATGCCTTGCCACAGGATAGATCGAGCCTCCCACGTCACTGGAGTCATCTGTGACAAGATTTAAGTGTTTCAAAATATTGCATTTCCAGAGCAAGAACAAACAGTCCCAGCGTTGCGTAACTAAAAACGCATTAAATACTAGAGTGTTGTTACACACTGTAAACAGAACATGAATACCTATATACAATTAATTGATTCAACATGCATCTTATCCACATTGCAATCTAACTTGGCAGTGTTATGTTTTATAAATAAAGATACTTTTTAAATCAAGATTAGATGAAGTAATCTTTATTAGTGGCTGTAAGCTAGTACTTTTACTTGGAAGTCTTCCACATTTGCAATCTTGTTTACGACTCTCTATGCACCACCAGGAGATTAATGTTGCATCCCTTACATTTGAAATTCCCACTGCTCTGGGTCATATTTTTTCCTTGGGCAGCTTTTTTCCTGAAAGGAGTTCCTCCCAACTATTTCTGCATAGAAGTATTTGAGACATAACTGGCGTGGATACTGCACTTCTGGTCCCACCTGTTTCACACAGGCTTAGGAAGAAAACACTGCCAGGAAATTATCACATGAAGTCAATGTTAGAAATATTAATTACTATTAGAAATTAAAATGCAGCACTTAAATAATAGGTAGCTATTTCAGGAATAGATAACACTTCCACTTTAGGTTTCCTCTCTTCCCCTTGAAAAAAGTCACAATAAGCACGAGAGGTGATAGCAAGAAGCGTGAAGTTACAAAGTCAGACATACACTCACAACCTCAGTACAGGGGAGTTATTCCTCCTCCGCTGCACCAAGCGTTTATTTTACACGAGAAGGTTGAGAACAGAAAGCAACATTTCTATGAGAAATAGTAAAACAAGATTCACTATTTTGAAAACTAACATACATGCTGATGCCATTCTGGGAACCACACAGCACAGCCCAGTCTTTGGTGCCAGGAGTTGAAATGAAACAGAATAGCGTATCAACTGTTCATGCTGCATACTCCAAATGCAGGACATGAGATTCTGGACAGACCACTTCCATCACACACCCGGGACAAGCATTAAGCTGCTCTGTAAGCAAGATTATTGGTGATAGACTTTCTTCCCTCTCCCTCAGCCCGGTAACTGGCAGAACCAAAAATAATATATTTTTTTTGCAAAGCAGATAGTGTGCCATCAGCTGCACACATCTGGTGGAATTCAGAGCTTGCAGAAAAACCCTCCATTTTATGAAGACTGACTGCTGTTCGTTATTTTCTCAGATGCACTGAGGGCAATGGATCGAATATCAAATTCACACTTTTAATTAACATTGTTTCCCACTATTAAGTTACAACCTCGATACTTTTGGTGCGGAGAGTCTCTGGCAAAACTCTGGAGAATAAAAATTTGGTCTTTAAAACAAACACGGCTGCAGGATTGGATCCCAAAGGAATATTTAAAAGTGTTCACAACAATAAAAATAACACAAAACAGAACATTTGGATGTTTAAGAAGAACCCTGATGCGGTGTCCATTCCGGACACAGGAAAGTGCAGCATTACGCTGTTCTACGACCAGCAGCTGCAGATCCAATCTGCTGCTAAGTGACAATTTTATCTCCAAAAAAAAAAAAAAAAATAGAGAGAGAGAGAGAGAGAAGTTTAAAATTAGCAGTTAGCATAACCACTAGGCTAGATTAATTTGTTTCAGTACTTTGGGTGCATTATTCAAACCAACACCTCACTGAACAAACTATCATTGCTCACTCTTTCTTCTCACTGCAAGAGAACAAGCTTGGAGTTTGCAGTTTTTTTTGCCTTGAAATATTTAGCACAGAAACGTAACAGTAATTAATATACACTCAGCCCCTCCAGCTCTTTTAGCCCAGCCACATGACTGAAATATAACAGCCATGAGCCTGGCTATTTCCCCCACTGCATGAGAGCATGGGTCAGGCAGCTGGGAACAAAAAGCAACTCAGGGCTCACAGAGCTGCGTGCACAGGGAGTGCTGGAGTGGAGCTAAGTGCTCCTGCAATGCCAACGGCACTTCTGAAGGACAGGGCTCCCAAACTGAGTTTGAGGGCAGACTTAGAGCTACAGGTTCTTTGGCTTCTCCTAGAGGTGGCCAGCGAGCCCATACAGAGCTCCATGGGGATGGCAAGCAAGCAGCAAGAATGGCATCCATACTGCTCACCTCACTGCCCTTCCACGTCCTCCTAGAGATGCAGCCCTCCATCCCTGCTCAGTGCATCCCTGCAGGGTCGGCAGAACCAACCTCTTCCATCAGCACCCTCACACAGCACTCCTCTCAGCCCTGCCCAGGCTCACCTGCCCAAACGGGACTTGGTAAAGCACTGACACAGTGCTGAGTGCCACCCTTGGGATTCACCACATGGGTTCCATGAGCAGGAAGGGGCAAAATGGCCGTCAGGGCTGTAGCCCTCAGCAGGCCCAGCACCAAGGCTGAAAGGACCTGTAGGCATCTGGAGCAGCACTACAGGTTCATTACATTAAGAAATAATAATTTTGTTTTTAGACTTCAGAGCTTGGAGCAAGCGCAGCTCTCTAGAAACAACACAAAGACCCACTTGCTCTGGTCACTCGGCCACCTTCACACCCCCATTACCCCACTATCTAGAGCACTAGGAGATGATAAAACAACAAATAAAGCTCTCAGTGGAGGAATAACTTAAAAAACACCTCACCACCAGCCCAATTCCCCCAAGCACGAGGTGACACTGCAGCGAAGCCCACCTCCCCAGCTCACCTTGGTGTATTTCACCTCCAAACCCCTCAGAGGCCGCGGCAGCGGCGGCCCCTTTTTGTCAGGCTGCCCGTTCTCCACAGCACCGTTGAGCGCTGCCATAACCGCCCCGCCGAACCCACACCACCGTTCTGCCGCTGACAGTTCGCGGCGCCGCCTTAAGAACGCCGCCGCCCGCTCCTATTGGCTGCCGAGCCGCCACGCCCCGCCTCGGCCCCGCCCCCCTCCGCGCGGCAGCGGCCCTCAGGTAACGGGCGGCGCCCCGCCGAGGCGCTGCGGCCAGCGAAGGGTCGGGGGGCGCCCGCGGGCCGCGCCTGCTGCCTCAGGGCGGTGAAACGCCCTCAGGGAGGCGGTGGAGGCCTCTCGGAGGGATGGAGGCACCTCAGGGCTTGGGGAGAGCGGCCAGTTGGCCTGCGCCCATCTGAGGGGCCCCGAGGGTGCGGCCTCCAGCACAGCGCTCTTAGCGTGGTGGGGACGCCGAGATGGATGCTCGCTGTCACGGAGTCCTGAAGGATATGGAACGTGTCTGAAGTGACAGATCTCGGCTCGGCGCCGGAACGAGTTCATTACACGTTGCTTAACGGCCCTCTGGATGAAGCATGCTTAGGGCTCCTTAGGCTGGGGGCCAGGACGCTGGGAGCACCCTCACACCCACACGCTCATGGAAGATAACGCGGCATATTTTCCATATAACGAGTGGCGAGGTGCCAGCAGTTATCTTCCAAAACGCTTCGCAGAATCTGTAATCCCCAGCACTAGTCAGCGCTTTGCTGTTCCAGCGCTCAGAAATAAAGGCAGGTCAGCTGTGATATCATGAGCCTTAGTGCTGATTCAGAAGGGAAAGTACCATGGTGAATCAGATCCTGCTTCCCGGAGCCTGCAGGATGCTCCTGAGATCCCTGCTCCACGTGGGGAGATGCAGTACAACAGCAGAAACGTTGACATCCACGCTGTCCATTTTTAACTTTCCAATTGCTATTTTATAGAATCACTGAGGTTGGGAAAGCCCATGAAGATCCTCACGTCCAACCCCAACCCACCATGCTCACTGACCACGTCCCTCAGTGCCACATCTCCACAGTTCTTGGACACCTCCAACCCCACCAACCTTCCTGGGCAGCCTCTTTCAATGCATTACCACTCAGAGAATAATTTTTTCCAACCCAAACCTCCCCTGGTGCAACTTAAAGTCATTACTTCCTGTCCTAAAGTCATTACCTCTTGTCTTTTCCCACCAAAGCAAGAACAGCATCAAAACTAGAAAAAATTCTCAACTAAAACCACACCTAATTCTGGTCCCAGTAAAGTGGAAGTTGCATCCAAGCTATTCTTGGATGTCATCAGTGAAACTACAAGGTGAGTGATGTGATTGCACAAATCAGAGTCAGGGATGGAAAACATTTCTGTCCCCTGGCCACAGACCCTGTTCTGGGCTGGTAACATAGCCTGACAGCAGAACTTTGTGTCTCTGATAATTTGCCAGTTTGGATTTTATGATAATGTAGCATAAGTCTACAGGTAATAAATAATTTAATGGTTCAAATATCAGATGGGGGGAATAGACTGCCATGGAAGTAGCACAATACAGGTAGAATTCATTCATTTTTATCCGCCTGTACTTTGCCCAGGGAAACACTCAGCACACACGGAAAGTGCTTCTGTAATTAGAGATGCCCTCTGGATGAGGGTAAATATGAATAAGAACTTTCAGGACAAGCAGTGTCAAGGGAGTCATTCCTCTGGATTGTCTCATACAGAATGACTTTGTCTTGATCTCTCACAAGGAAGATTTTTTGCAGGGCAATCCTGGGAACATTATTTGAGGCACTGTCGCTTCTTTGAGTTAATGTAGGTGCACAGTGAGTTACAGCTAAGGTAAAAGTTCTGCACACAGGGTTTCAGGATATAGCACTGCTTTAAAAGGCTGTACAAAGTAATTGATTTGTGAGTCAGTGGCATATGGATGAGCTGAAATAATAAGATTTAACCAATATACACAGCAGTACACAGTGTGTCCCTTAGTCATGCCATAAGCAGAGTAACAATACGTTCCACCAACGAGTTTTGTGGACACTGGGCCCTCGTTGGGAAACTATCCTACCATAAACCAGACCAACACCACCAGCCTCACGAGATGTGTCCTCTGCGGCCAGTGATTGTATCAGACCCACCACAGAGAAAACACTCAGTCCTCCATCCTGCTGAGTGGTGAGCTCAGTGGGAGATGCCCTAAAAGCAACAGCAGGGTCCATGTCAGAATGGGTGAGAGGCGTTTTTATTTGCTCCCATGCTCCAGGAGCACCACACCAACATTCATGTGGAAGTACTGAAAAAGCGGGTTTTACCTAATTTTGTAACAGTTCATAAATGTGTCAGAAACAGGGGAAAAGAGGAAAAGAGTCTGTTAATGAAAGGTCATGTTACTACTGAGTCACCTTATTACGTTCTACTGTTGCAGCAGTTCTCAGAGATGTCTACAATATGTGCACTGACTGCGATAACCGAATTCCTTGTTGCTGTGCTCTTCTGCAGAGCCACGTCTCACAGAAGATTTCTAGACTCTGAGCGCACCAAGCTCCCTTCCAACCCAAGCTATCCTACGATAGGAGTTTATGATATGATTATCTGTCAGCCAGCTCAAAGATTGCCTTTCCCATTTGGGTCAGACATGTACACGCCTAAGTCTGCCACCATAAGTTGGATCTGACTGCGCTGTTCTGTTCCAGTCTGTCCGTGCCGAGAACCATCCCAAGACATGTTTGTGCTATGATGGAGTGGTGTCCCTATCTGCTGCATGCCATCATTTCTGCAGAAATTAATTTGCTAGAATTCCTAACCTTATCCAGCCATAAGAAAGTGAATATTCTGGGTGGTAACTCCTCCTTCAAATACACTCTGTGCCTGTATATCTCCCCTATATCCTGGCCCCACACCAAGAGTGCAGTGGGGTTGTACCCAGAAGATTGATGCAGATCTCTGTATCACCTGAGATCATGATGGTTCTGGGCAGCTTTGGCATCCTGCCCTCTGGATAAACTCAGACTTGGCAGTAGGGCAGATGTTCACTGACATGACCATGCTCTGCACTGAGCCCCATCAGCATTGGTGTAGCCACTGAGAGCTGCTGTACAATTCAAGCAGTTGATATTTACCGGATACTTTGCATTTATTCCTCAGCCTGTATTCCAAGCTGAGCAGAAGTTCTATAGCTGTGCAGTTAGCATGGCACAAAGCCAAAGCTTATTCTTCTGACTTTACATACAGCCCGAAGCACATACACACAAACATCAATGCATGTGTGAAACTGTATACTCTGACAGGCTACCGAGGCTGTACGCTTCAGTACCCAGCAGCCAGGAGTGACCAGAACTTGCCTGTTTGTGTATATCCTGATGAGCTGTAATTGAGTGATCAGTGCCCTTTTCCTACAGCCATCCCCCTTAGTCTGCATCAGCAATGGTTGCTGCTCTTGAAAAAGCAGCTCCCCCCATGTTTTATCCTGAATGTGCAGAAAGGGGACTTTTTACTGCCTGTTGTTCAAACTGCACTTTGGGCACAAAATTATTCACTTCCATATGTTTTTCCCATGTTGCTTACCGTAGCATTTTCTTTCCCACTAATTTTGAGAGGATGCTGACCCCAGAGAAAACAAGGCAGGACGTGATGAATTCAAAAAAGGACTTCATTATGTTGGGTGTAAGCCACCTACAGCCTGAGCTCTTCCCATGAGAGCATTCAGAGCTCAGCTCCCACTGAGCTCAGCTCCAGATGTAATTGCACAACATAGGGGCTCTGCAGATCTCCCACCTAAACACTCAGATAAGGCAGAACACACAGCCCACAGGGCATTGCTCACCAGGCAGTTTAAGCTGGGAACTTGCTTATTTTTCAGTGGCAGATTTTGCAACCTCATTATTCATATAACTTTATCTTCTGGTTGTAGTTTTCTACCATTTGAGTTCATTTTTCCAGACTTGAAAATCATAGATTTCATCTCTTTTGGTCAAATTCACCAACAGGATGAAGAAATGGTTCCTCAGATACCCATCTAAAAAGGCTACTTATTAACAAACATAATTAAGTACTTGTTTAGGTGTCTAACCAATTACTTAGCTGTCTAATTGTAATTTCTACTGCTTAAAATTCGGCTTCTACAGGTTTGGTTTTTTTTTTGCAATGAGTTCATTGAAGCCAAACATGCCATATAAAACAAGAAGAAACGGCAATAATTGAACTAAGGCTCTCAGCTGTGAAATACACTGGAAATGACACAATGTTCATGAAAAATTCTGCCATCTTACACCAAACCAAATTCTATTCAGTATCCATATGCAATTTGGAAAGGGCTACAGTCTAGAAAATAGGACCCTTTTTTAAAAAGAAGATCCGGCTGCTGCAAAGATCCTTTGGAAATTGTATGTCTTACACTTTTTTGCTTTTTTTTGTTTTTGTTTTTAGTTAATCCAGCCTTATTTGAGCTGTGTCAAATGCTATAAGAGGAGAAAGGCTGCATGCACCAGGCGTGTTTGGGAGTTTGAAGCAGCCTTACCCCATGAACTCACCAATCTCCATTTCTCCCATCACATTTCTTGTGACATCTCAGGTTAAGGCATCCTCTGACGAAGAGATTGGTCTTCCATTTTTCTTCATCTCCACCAAATCTGCATGTAAAGGTGAAGAGTAACAACACAGGGTACTGCAAGATGTTATTTGGGTAAGCCTGGTAGCCTATCTGTCATCCTAAACATGTCCTCATGGTACAAAACAATACTTTAGGGGGCTCAGGATGGAAGACAGCCCTTTTATACTTTGCACTGTAATTACTTCATGAAGCAAAATACTCAATTTTCTTCATGTGTGTCATAGGTATTAAACTGACTGTACACGTCTCTTTGCTTTTCCTGCCTCCAGAAATAAATTGGAAAAGTTAGTGGCAAGGAAATAACAAACAGCTGAGCATTTTGAAGCCTTTATATTAAAACAACTTCTATTTCCTTTTGCCATCATTTCCCTCTGCCAGGGTCAATGCTGGAAAATGAGGAGAGTGGGAGCAGGAACAGAAGCAAGTGCACGATAACCCACTAAGATAGCGTCTGTGCTGGGAAGCAGTTCAAGGACCTGTTTCATTAC